AACCAAGGGTTGCCAGTTACAGAGGTGCTTTCAGGAAAAGCAAGGCTAAAAGGGGAGAGGGAAAAAGACACTATATCCAAATATACACAATCGAAACGTCTCCTTATCTTCAAAAGGGGAGAGGGAAAAGACACTATCCACATATGCACAGTCAAAATGTTTCTGTATCTTCTAGTGAAAATATTATACTGTAACTCAGAAAAAAGAAAAAACATTTTTCTTCTTAAAATAGCTACAGTTTCACTCTCTTCAGGAGTGGAAATGGTTTTATTTAGCTTCAGCTAAAATATCCAGAAACTAAATAAAAAAAATCAAGTAGTATTTGAAAAGCTGAAAATTAAATAAGGGATATTAAAAATACCCTTGCACTGGTAAAATGCAGAGGAGAAAATTTTAAATATCAAACAGAATATGAACATTTTATTCTGGAAACAAATTTTTCAGATTAAATATTGAATTAAGTCAAGTATTACCTAAGTGTTATTCTTTAGGATATTCTGGAGATTATGTTACTGGTAGTCTAGTTGAAAAACAGTTTATTTTAAAAGTACATTGATACCTTCAGTGGAATTTCTCCCAGTCTCTTCCTATCACAAAAGAGAACAGGTTTAAGACCATCGTGACAGCAACCAACCATTTTACCTCAAATCACTTAGAAGGATCTGACCAGGATATGGGAGCCATCACTACACCTCCCCGAGTATGGTGGATACGTGTATACTTGGAGCTATTTCACAAGGAGCAGGGGGACTCTTCTTCCAAACCCTGCAACAGCAGCCGTTACATTCAGGTAGGTGAGAACAAACTGAGAAGATTTAAAGTGTAGCAAAACAAGCTCCACCACTAACACCCTTCATCTCAAACTGAAGTAGGAGCAGCTTTGCTACATTTGTATTGTCCCTGGCCTATCCAGACATAAGTATTAGTGTCTATCGGCTGCTGCTCGCTCTGGATCAGCAGCTCCCTTTTTGAAATGTCTTCATTTTTCAAATGCCTCCAAATATATGTGTATCCATACCCCTACTTTCAGTATGTCCCATCTCACCATAGATAACAAATCCTCACCTGAATTTAAATTGTAAGCTAGCTTGGATATGTGTATTGTCTCAGGACAACATAGTGTCACATCACTATGAATACTGAACTAACCAAAACCTGCAGTGACCGTTAGGAAAAATGTTGCTCTGGGCTTAGCATAACTGGAACATGACCTGACTGAAACCTCTGTGTGCCACTAGCATATATACTTGAAATAATAATACATGATTTGCAGTTTCTTCCAGGCCTGAAAGCTATTCAGTTAGCTTGGACAGGAATCCTAGGGGGGTGGAAGAAGGTAACCTGTACTCTAAATAGATCTGTAAATTAAATTTGCCGTGGAACTCTCAAAGCAGAAGCCACCTTCAGAATTAAACCGAAGCTCTAATTAGGTTTATTCCCATCCTTGTCTCTTTGTAAACTAAAACTAAAGGGCGTCAAGAATTATGCTCTATCAAGACCAGGTTTCCTCCAGCCAGAAATCAGTAATAAAATTAAAGGGGAATATTGCATATGTTGTTTAAAACAGATGATGATGAGTTTATTACCAACTATCATGTATGAAGCAGTAGACTGAGATTGGGGTCCTTTCTTCCCATTTTTTTTTTTAATATCAAAAGCAATGTCCCCCACTCTTCCACTACCACCACCACCCTTGGATGCTAAGCTGCCTACATATGAGCAAACAGAACTAGTCATTAGACTCCTCCTCCTAACAGAATTTGCTGGGGAGTAGTAACTAGTGTCAAGTAGGATTTTTTTCCCCATTGGATGGAAAATCCCATTCCCACTGAGCATGAGGCATGACCTCTCTTCTCACAAGCAGACCCACCTTCCATGATCCACACTTCACTCATCTGTTAGACAGACTCTCACCATGTATATTCCTCTGAGCCACTGCATTAAGTCCATTTGCAAGCTGACGCTTGAACTGCCATTTTCTATGCACTTTTTAAGCATGGTAATTCACAAGGAGCACTTGCATCGTTTTCACAGAGACTTGCAGTGATTGCCTCCAGGCAGAGCTTGTCCTCACTGGAACTTCCAAAGCTTAGAATGCCTGGTCCCTCCTTACTGAACTACCCATGCTTCAACTGAAATCAGGAAAAACACCCAAACTGTTGTTCTAGAAAAGAAGCAGCTAGTGGCAGGATGTTATCAGAAAGTGGTTTTCAGCCTTGAAACTCACTCTCACCCCGCAGCCACAAACTTTTGATCATTTTGGTATACTTCAAAGCATTTTTTTACAAGTTTTTTAACATTTTTGAACAGCTGGGGAGACATATCATGGACAAGAAATTTTGATTGGTAATGTACCAGTTAACTTCGGAATAGTAGGATTGGGAAAAGGGACAGAAATGTGCTATTGTCTAGTGTTTCATCTTGAATTCTAGAACTCATGGCAAGAGACAATTAGAACTCAGGATAAACCTTTTGTTATAGGTACTTCATTTCAATCTAAAAATCAATCAAGTTGGATCAAGTGGAACAAATATATGCCTACATACACATTCCATTCAATTGTAGCTTAACATAAACCAATACAAAAGCTCTCTCTCTAGAAAAGATTTCTATTACCAGGTCACACTGGATTCTGGAGACCAGTTGTGTTATACTTTTCATCAAAAGCAGTGTTTCTCTGCCATTTTAGACTAGAGGCACTCCCCAGAAAATGCCAGCTTTTAGCTACTATCATTCTTTTTTTTTTTTTTAAACTATAGAAACAGTTTCTCTGTTACAAAGTCCTCAGAAGTGTTCCAAAGTCTTTTTGATACTATGGATTCCTATTTAAAATCTCTTGGTTTACCTTGTGAATCATGTGTAGGTGTTTTGCATCCCTAACAGGTAATATTGAACTGCTACTTTAAATAACTTCAAGGCACATTGGACAAAAACAAATAATCACTGATCTATGGAAATAAAGTCAAACTTCCTGATTTCAGAATCAGCTTCCTATGTGGAACTTTTCAAATCATGGTGAAAAAAATAGTTCTTATCTTTTTCCAAACAAATGGACCCATGTATTAGGTAGACGCATTCTTCCTGAAGCCCACTCTACATCATCTGCTTTCCAGGCGCAAAGTCAACTTACAAAACCATGTCTATAAATGCTCTTTTAGTGTGGGCCATCGCATGGCTGCAACCCCACAAAAGAGGTAACCAATTCCCATCCTACTGCAGTTGGACAAAAATAGTGACCCAATGAGATTTGGCCAATGAAGAGGGGGGGGCCATAGTAGCACATTATCTTTTGGCTATTTCTGAAATTTGCTCACCATCCTTCTTCAGCCTTCTTCAACCCAATACCAGAAATTTTGCACCTAACATGGAAAGGGAGAATAAACAAAAGTCAGAAATAACATTTTATAGAAACACAAAAAATGCCAGGCACTTCATAAAATATGTAGAAGGGACTAGGCACTTGCCCCAAAGAACCATTTAAGTTTAAAACAAAAAGGCAAGGGAAACAGAGTAGCATATAGAGAAGACAAGGAAGGTCAAGCTTTCAAGCTATAGTTCCCAGGAGATTTCAAGTTAATCAGCCACCTATGAAGGAATTTGGATTACAATTTCAATGTTACATGCCTGTCATCTCCAAGAAATGTCACCAACTTCCTTTCACATACTCTACACTCAGCAGAAAAAATCCTTACTCCCAAAAGGGCTCTGGCTTTTATTTCTGCCTAAAATAATAGCAACTCTCTCACAGACTCTAAGCAGGTGTAAGTACAATGCTGTCATTACCAGCAGTAGGTTATTCTTGTTAACCTGCTCTTTGAGGAAAACGATGGGAGAAAAATGACATCTTGAAAGGCATGGGAGGTTAAATAAAGAAAAATTATTGCCTAGAAAGACATGTACACAATTTTGAATCTTGCCCGAAAGAAGTGAAGATCCCTGCTGCTGTAATGATTGAGTAAAAAAAGCCTGAAGTAAAAATGGAAGGGTGGCATCATCAAAAAGGCTGGAGAACAGTGAAAACAGTTTCCAGTAGTGTCTCCCAAGGGACTTAAGCA